CCCGGCTGTGGTTAAGCATCAACGAATGCCCGACAACTGATACCCTGAGGTGGTGGGGACCACCAACCACTGCCCTCAAGGTACCTGTGACGAAAATCAAAGCAGACTATCACTCACCCACACCAGATGAAAAACTTTACAGACTGTCGGTTCACACCCCATCACAAACCAGCAAAACACCCAGGAAACAAAGACAGGTCTGTCACAGCCAAAAAATGCACTCCTATACATCGTCACTACAAGCGCTTCTTGGGTTCCGAGTGTTTGTTTCCTACTCCACATTCACCTTTTGTGAGCACAGAGAGAAGAGAGGAGAGGGCGAGACTGGAGGAGGAAGAGGAGGAGGAGGAGGAGGAGGAGGAGTGCGGCGGTGGAATAGAGAAAACGACAAAACATTGGAATGCACTGAAGAGTCTGAAGACTGTGAAAAAAAATATTATTTGCACGCCGACTGCACTTCATCCATCGGGATTCCTGTCCGCGTCAAGGGTCTTCCACCAAGGACCCGATCAATCGCTGGACGAATCATGGCCGTTCGTATAAACGCGGACTGCAGAGGATCGATACCTTCACTCCTCGTAGGTATAATTAGTCAATGGATCCACAGAGAGAGGGGGAAGAGACAAGCAGAGGACCTAACCCAAAAATTGAAAAGGGAAATCTAAATAAAAAGAGAAATTAAAAAAAAACGCAGATGGATGAAGGTAGAATCAGAGGCACAAAAAAAAAAAAAAAAAAAAGGATCAGAGGCACGGTGGAAGAGTACAGACATATATTCTGTTTTGGTTTTACTCGATTTCAACGACTGCCGCTACATCTTTCGGCCCGCTCTTTCTGAGGGCCGACTCACACTAGCATTTTCTTAAATGTATCTGACCGCATTTACCTGTATGCATCTGGCCGCAATTCCGTCCAGAAATAAGTAAAAAGGTGCTAGATTGACTATGCCCTGAGGGATGGCACGGCTTGGGAAGTCTCCCTCTTTCCGGTCCTCCTCCTGACGGCCAGGAGGGACAGTCCCCTCTCTGCAGTTCCTGCAGGGCCCATAAACCATTTATTCTCCCTCCACCCCTTCGGAGCCTACAGGTGTTTTTTAAGTCTTAATGCTTCTTAGGTTAACTCTGATAGTCCATCTCGTTTTGACTTGGGCCTACTACCCTCCCGCCGGGGCCTACCCTTCCGCCGGGGCCCTATTGGATCATTTCCCAGTATCTTAGTTCAGCATTAAACTCATTCGCAGTTGTATCATTCTGACAACGGTACTCTCGAAATGTGAAAAAGACAAAAATGTGGGGGTTGCATCTGGCCATGTTCTAGCGGGAAGTTCGTTCTCATTTTCCACATTTCGAGAGTGGTGTGACGATGCCCAGAGTGTTTTCTGGATTCCGCCATACGGTTTCCTATCACTCTCACTCGTTGAATTCATTTATGCTTGCCGGGGATAAGTAACCGGATTGGAGCCCTCCCAGAATACATTGAGGGTCTTCTGTGTTAAAAAAAAAGAAAGAAAGAAGAAGACAGTGTCGTGCACAGACGGGTGAGATGGAGGGGGAGAGGCGGGGGGGAGGGGAGTGCGGTGAATGAGTGAGCTGTAGATTAGACAAGATGTGGGGCAGACACTAAGGGTGGAGGGATGAGGGGGCGAAGTGGAAAAAGATGAGGAGAGACCAGGTAAACCGGCGAGAGGGGAGAAGCAGTTGATTTGGGGGAGTGGCTT